GAAGGAAGGAAGGAAGGAAGGAAGGAAGGAAGGAAGGAAGGAAGGAAGAAGGACTCTCCAAATCCTACTACTATTAGGATATTGAATATACTGTTAGGATGTTAGAGATACCAATATTAACACTGGTAAACAGCAGCCCAAACATATCCACATGCATACGTACAACAGAAGACTGACAGGTGGATAGAAAGATGTGAATAGTTCTATGAATGGTATTATACTCAACATGCACATACATTTCAAAGATGCACACTAGCACTCTTCTCAGGGTCTTATTCCTTTTCACTCTTTAAACATGAACTAGAATACCGGCAAAATTTTTCATGCTGCTACAATTGGGAGTACTATGCTTCCCTAATAAATCTTGAGTAGAACTTTCCAAACTAAAGTCATCAAAAGTGATGACCTTTGATGAAATCTGAAAATCAACGACCAAAGTTCAATCTTTGAAAGATAAGAAAAGTCCAAATAAAGACAGTAATGGCACAAGAGATACCAAAAGTCTTTAACTTTTTTTGGTCTTTAAGCAAAACCCACAGTGTCAAGGGCTTAGTGTAAATTTATAATAAAGTTCTAGTTTTATTTAAAATAATAAAAAAAAATCTAAACTGCACATGGTATCATCTTAGATTTCCAAAGGTCTCTTTTTCTTCCTTCATCATCCATACCCTGAACTATTAAAGTGTTGTAGAAGATGCTGGTAGAAAGTTCTGAAGAAACCAAAGACAAATCCATGGATCCGTCTACTCAGTCCTCATCTAATACATGTCTGTTCCAGGATTAGGCCATGTCGGTGGTGTCAGAGTAGTGGATATGAGACACAGCCCTTCAACCTTCTGGAAGCTTAGAGCCTAGCAGGGAGATGGTCAATAAAACCCACTTTCTAGTTCTTTTCTTTTTTTTTTTTTATGGAAACCATATGCCCTTTCTTAACTTTTTCTAATTCTCATCTATTATACCATCAGCAACTAGAAGCCTTGCAGATTGACCTTTTCACAAAGGACTCATTTTCAGTAGAAATTTCTAGAAATGGGATTATTGAGTTAAAGGATTTACCCCTAACTTCTACTTCTATCCAAGTGGATGAGAGAGCTAATTTCTCTAAATCACAGCATAGAAATATTACCCTTTAAAAAAGTATGCCAATTTGGTAGGAGACAAACATATCCTTGTTAGTTTTATGTTTGATTACCAGTTAGAGGCTAAACATTTGTTTGTGTTTATCAGATATTTATATTTCACTGGTGAATTAATAACAATCTTCTGATTTCTCCTTTGTGTCAATGATCTCTTATTAATTTAAATACCTACCATTTATTTATTTTTAAGGATTTTATTTATTTATTTGACACAGAGAGAGAGCACAAGCAGGGGGAGCGGCAGGCAGAGGGAGAGGGAGAAGCAGGCTCCCCGCTGAGCAGGGAGACCGATGTGGGGCTCGATCCCAGGACCGTGAGATCAAGACCTAAGCTGAAGGCAGACGCTTAACCGACTGAGCCACCCAGGCATCCCTCTTTCTATTTTTTTTTTTTTTTTAAGATTTTATTTGTTTATTTGAGAAAGTGCACAAGAGGGGAGGAAGGGCAGAGGGAGAGGGAGAAGCAGACTCCCTGCTGAGCAGGGAGCCCGATGCGGGCAGGACTCGTCCCAGAACCCTGGGATCATGACCTGAGCCGAAGGCAGACGCTTAACCGACTAAGCCACCCAGGTGCTCCAACAATGCTGATTCTCTTTTTTCATGTTTTTAGGCCATTTAGACCTTCTCATTCACTCCTTAGCCTTCTGCCATCTGGCTCCTTCCAATATCACTTCACTCAAACATTTCTTGCGCAGGTCACCAAAGATATTCTAATTGCCAAATTGCCATTCTTTCCTTATATGACCTCTCTGCAGCATTGGGCACCTTTAAAAACTCTTTCATGAAAAGTTCTAGTCCTTCATTTCTATAAAACTCTGACTCTTCCATCCCCATTATCCTCCTAAATACATCATTTGTTCAAATGGAACAAACTAAGTTAGTAGGAAATAAAACTGTAAGATAAAAACCATTAAAAATATGCTATACCCTCAAGATATCAATGTTCATTTTATAATTAACACCTCATTAGCCTCCACACAAATTAGATACCTCCCAAATTTAAAATGTTTCCAAAGATGGGTTTAAAAGGACAAAATTCTGCCTTGATTATCCCTGAAATTTTTATGAAGTGCATACTCAGGAAACTAGGCCATAAAAACTTCACCTTAATCTCATGAAGAAAGGAGTTCTACCAGTTACAATTTCCTTACAACTCCAGGGATAGAGCTAAAATACTCATTTTATTAATACAGATTAAGTATTATTATTTATAAGACACACACAGTGATCGACATCCTATGCTATTTCAAAAAGTTCCATAAAAGTTAGTTCATGAAATTATAGCAAAAGTGAAAATACATTCTTTGGTGTGCATTATGTTCTGATTTGTTTTTAATACACAGGTCTGATGTATTCCATTGCTAGGTATCCAAATTTAGTAAATGGAATGAAACTTAGTTAGTATACAAATAAATCTGACAGAGAAGTCCCCCAAATCACAGTGATATATCATATATCTTTTTCTAACATATATCTTTTTCTTGTTTATTTGTTTTTAAGTAGGCTAACATATATACATATATCTTTTTCTTGTTTATTTGTTTTTAAGTAGGCTCCATGCCCAAGGTGGGGCTTGAACTCACAACCCTGAGATCAAGAGTCTCATGCTCTACCGACTGAGCCAGCCAAGTGCCCCAACCTCTCTGTATCTTAATCTATACCTCAGAACTGATACGAGAACTTGCTCTTAGGATACACTTCCACTATTTCACTTAATCCTCACAACAAGTAAATTTCCAACATATATCAATGTTATTGGGGATTAATATTAATACAGAAAAGAGCTGAAGAAAAGTAAGAACTCCTTGAGTTCTCTGCTCATTTCCCCACTCAATGGAAAAAAATGGAAGACAATCTCAAATACAGAAGATTTGAATGACCAGATAGTTGCACACTTTTCTATTTTTGTTTCTTTTATGACAATTCTCTAGTTCTGATGGGCCTATGAATTCCTCTATACAGCTGCACACACAACAAATAAAAACATTTTAAATTCCACTTAAAAGATCTTCTAGGGCAAGGTTTACTATGACCCCACTATAACTGAATTCCTCTGTGTTAAATGCAGGTAAGATAGGATTCCAGTTTATAATCGTTGTATTACCTTTTCTAGTCCATCCTAAAAATACGTATCTCAAGAATGCTTACCTTAAAGTTAATTTGCATCATTGGGAGAAGGTGAACCAGTGAACTGCACATGTCCGTGGTGATGAAGGAATTAAGTTCTGGTATGTTGAGGCACTGTAAGGTTTTATATTTTTCTTGGGACATGCCCACTTTTGAACCTAAAACATCAGCAATGGCTACAGGCAAAGGAGAAGGTTAAAAATAGTAAAACTACAGCTTATGAAAAAAATAATAAAGTTACAACTCAATCAAAACTTAAAATAAGAATGTACCAACAACAACAAAAAAAGAAATTCAAAACATTCACACTTTTGCTATATTTCAAAAAGGCTAAATACTTTTGTTGGTTAACTGTATGGAGTAAATTATGAGAAATTCAAAGAATTTCTTTTTAAAGACCTAGTGTTTAAAAACTGCAAAAGATATACAGAAAGGGGTAGAGGAAAAGCAGCAACCAAATTCGAAGGAGTTAAAACCCTGGCTTTATCACTTCATATCTTCATGGTTGACATGATGTGACCACAATTAGGAAGAAATGGAAAGTATTTTGTGAAACAGTATAATGCCATCTAGACAAACTACAATTACATATCCAAAATCATTTATGTACAAAAACCAAAACTGTTCTCTAAAATAATTAATTGATGGTTATCCTCAAAGAAGGCAGCAATACGACTGTGCATTCGTCATTTTTCAAAGTTCACTGAAATACTAGCGTAGCGCAGACATGTGCTCTGTAAACATTCTGCAGGTGTAAAGGCTACCATAAACGCACTTACCAAGTGTTTCCATTAAGCTAAGCCTTTCCAAGTTTAAATGAATCCAACTCTATCAAATTTTTCTTCAAAGGTAATACTGCACCATTTCAGGAAATAAGTATCAAGTGCAAGCATGCAGACTGAAAGGGCTTTATGCAAAAGAGAATCTGATCTTTATAATATATTAATGTAAATTAGATACAGCTACCACCCACCTAGGAAGACTTTCTCTTTTCCAATAGAATAAGTGCCACAGACAACAAGAACACGTGGGTTTAGAGTTACTGCCTCAAAGGCAGTGTTGATGGCAAACTGGATAACCTCTTGCTGAGACGGAAAGGAGTATTCTGGGCTGCAGTATCTGTAATACGGAAATATGGTACTTATTAAATGAGCAACAAGAAAGCCATAGCATTAAGGTAGATGCTATTTTAGAAGCCAACCTTTAGCAAACTTATATACAGTGGTAGTGTAATATATTAACCCCACTGCGGTTATTCCACTGCCTATGGTTAAAATATTTGTGACAAGCTATGGATAATTTATGATGGAATTCTATGTTTCCAATATGTCTTGTACAGTGTATTTCCTTTATTGCCCTCATATAAAGAGATTGCCTCTTTTTCTTTTTTTTTTTTTTAAGATTTTATTTATTTATTTGAGAGAGAGAATGAGATAGAGAGAGCATGAGAGAAGGAGGGTCAGAGGGAGAAGCAGACTCTCTGCTGAGCAGGGAGCCTGATGTGGGACTCGATCCCAGGACTCCAGGATCATGACCTGAGCCGAAGGCAGTCGCTCAACCAACTGAGCCACCCAGGCACCCGAAATTGCCTCTTTTTCTTCAAGAACAGTTCTAGCTAGCTATTTTAGCTGTGAATTGTAGACCTCGGCATCTTTTCGTTTTAACTCTAACACCATCAAAGAAAATACTAGTGACAGGGATGATCTTTGAACTAAAGAATTCTGATTTAGTTTAAAAAATTCTTAAAATAATGAAACCAAACACGAATTTAATGAAGCAGTTTTAAATCAAACAGTAAGTAGTCACATGGTTATCTGCTCTTCTGAGGAGATACAGAAATATATATAGTATTACAACAATACAACAGATCCCCAGTTGGGTCTATCTCAATACAATAACACCCAATGAAAAATTAACCCTAAGACTACTAGCTACCTAGCTCTATTTGGGATGAAAATTAAGCATTTTTTCACTAAAAAAGAAGTCATAAAGTACAAACATCAAAGAAACATATTTTTCCACATTTTCAAGACTGTTTTTGCTGGTCAGCCATAAGAATAGAGAAAACACTTGTCTTTTCTCTGATGAAAAACCCACAAAGAAATTCAGAATTCTATGTAGAGAAAACTAGGCAAAAAAAGTGGGGGTGGGCTTACTTGTTATTTTCTTAATTTATTTAGTATTTAAAGTACATATAAAAGAATGGAAAAAGTAGCTATAATGTTGGAAAACTGAATGTGGAAAGCCCATCTTTTACTAAAATATGCCATCCAAATTCACTTCTTAAAACAGGTTGAAATAGTTGACATAATTCATTTCTAACAAATTGATGAGGTATTTTAATATATAATAAAAAAATGGCTGGTACCATTATGTTTATAACATTTAGAAATTCAAAGCTGTCACTTATAAATTACCTTTTGAAGAAAGGAACAAAGTAATTTTAAATATTTAGAAACAGAATCACATTTTGGCCTCTGTTTCTTCTTCACAATTATACTTAAGAGTTACAAAGGTACTTCGAAAAGATAACCTAAAAGGGTGTTTTCCTAAAGCTTGCCCCCCAATTTTTCTTCCTTGTTTCAGTAACAGGATTCTCACATAAACCAAAGGAAATCACAGAAAAGAAAAAATTGAGTTGTAGTTAAGACATGTCATCCCAAATTTGTTCTTAAGCAAGGATGTGTTTTTCCAAACAGTAGTTCTCTGATGAATGATCTTAAAATGGTAATTGACAATAAGCCATCATTTTGATTTACCTAAGCAACTGTGCAAACTGTTCATAATAAGCAGGGCAAATATTGTCAGTGGGAAAAGGAAGCATACAAACAAAGCCTCTCTTACGTTGTATCTAAGTAAAGCGTGTGGACTTTCTGGCCTGCAAGACGAGAACGTTCCATGGTGGGGTCTGCTCGGAAGTCGCCGGTGTGTAACAGGACTTTACCGTTAGGAAGATAAAACAGGATCATGACAGCACCTGGACAGCTGAACACAAACATTTCTAAGGAATAGTCTTAACACATGGGAGGCAGCTGAAGGAAGAGGACTTCTTCACTGTCAGCAAGGTAATACACTCTGGTAGCGACCACATGACACAGCACTGCACTACAGAGGAAATGCAGTGTTGTAGGAAGTTTACATCGTAATAGAAAAAAAAAAAGTGGTGTGCAGGAAAGGATTAATTCAGCAGGCCAGTTTGTTCGAACTCCACACTTCCCTACCTAAGGCCTGTCTTTAGGACTAGTCTTTGGCTGGTCCTCGAGGGAGGAGTTGAACTCTTGGAATATTCTGCCCAATAAGAGTGCTTTGTATGCCTGACGTGTGGGTCTGTGTGTTACTAGGTTGACCAGATAGTCACCGTAGATGACATCGTTAGCATAAACTATCTGTTTTGCTCTAGGGGACTGGAGTCTGAGGAGCTGAGGCAAGTCACATGGGTGTTGCATGTGTGCATGCCTGGCCCTCAATAAAAGCCCGGCTGGACTCAAGGCTCCGATGCGCTTCCCTGCCTGCCATATTCTTGGCATGTGTGGTGAACATCGCTGCCGGGAGAACCAGTGCTTCTGTGCTATTCGGGAGAAGAGCGTCCCTGGGAATTTGTGCCTGCTTTCTTCTGCACTGTGCCCCCATTTGCCTTTTCCTTTTGCTGATTTTAATCTGTATCCTGTCACTGTAACCATGAGTACAATAGCCCTTCCGAGCCCCGTGGGTCCTTCAAGTGAACCACTGAGCCTCAGGGTGGTCTTGGGGATGCCTGACACACTGGAGCTTGGAAATTACTGCCAAAACACATGGCGCTTTCATTTTGAATTCTGGGAAAACATTGGAAATAATTACTTTTTAATTAAAAACTTACCCTTACCGCCCCACCCCAAAACTGCAGACTGCAATGACTTTACTGGGGAATTCTATCAAACACCTAGGGAAGAAACAGTCCCAATACTATAGAACATCCTTCAGAATGGAGTAGGAGGGAATAGTTCGTGAGGCCAGTATTACCCTAATATCGAAACCAGACAAAAGCATTATAAAAAAAAAAAAAAAACAAACTACAGACCAATATCCCTTATGAAAACAGACAAAGAAGTCCTTAACAAAATATTTAGCATATCAAATCCAGCAATATATATATATATATTTAAAGGATAATCCATGAAGACTAAGTGGAGTTTATCTCAGCGAAGCAAGGTTGGTTTAACATTCGAAACGTCCATCATTATTATTTACCCTGTTAACATTATAGAGGAGAAAAATCATATGATCACCTCAGTAGATGCTGAAGAAGCATTTGACGAAAGTCAACACCCATTCATGATTACAAACTCTCAGTAGACTAGGAATGGAGGGGATTTTCCTCAACCTGATAAAAGGCATCTATGAAAAACCCACTGCTAACACCAAGCTAAAGGGAGCAAGACTGAAAGCGTTCCTCTTAGGGTCAGGAACAAGGCAGTATCTGCTCTCACCACTCCCATTCAACACTGTACTGGAGGTCTGAGCGAGGACCATGAACAAGAGGGGAAAAAAGCACTCTGAATGGAAAGTAAGAAGTAAAACAAAATTGTCTATATTTGCAGATGACATGATAGTACATGTGGAAAATTTTCAGAAATCTATAAAAAACCTACTACAACTAATGTGCAAGTTTAGCAAGGTCTCAGGATACAAGGTCAATACACAAAAATCAGTTGTCCATCAAGAGGTGAATAGATGAAGACATCGTAGGGTGCCCATACACTAGATACTACTCAGCAATAAAAAGACACGAACTATTGATATACACATCAGCATGGATGAATCTCAAAAACACGATGAGTGACAGAAGCCAGACGCAAAAGAGTAGATACTATGGGATTTCATTTCACTGAATCCCTAGGAAAGACAAATCTAATACATGGTGATAGGATACAGATCAATGGTCCCCTGGACTAGAGTCGGGCTTGGAGATTGACTGGGAAGGAGCCCAAGGAAACCTTTTGGGGTGGGAAAATTTCCTGTATTTTTCTGTAGTGGGTATTACATGAGTGTGTATTTTTGTCAAAATTCAGCAAACACTTAAAATGGTCTATTTTATTTATGTAAACTGTACCTAATAAAGTTGACTAAAAAAATCAGAACTTGAGCTGTTGTAAGCATTGACTAAAAAAGGAAGCAGCAGCAGGGACGCCTGGGCGGCTCACTCAGTTGAGTATCTGACTCTTGGTTTAGGCGCAGGTCATGATCTCCAGGTGGTGAGATCGAGCCCCGAGTCAAGCCCTACATCAGGCTCTGCGCTCAGTGGGGAGTCTGCTTGGGATTCTCTCTTTCCCCCTCTCCTGCTGCCCCCAACTCCCTCTTAGAAAAAAAAGGAAAAAAGAAAAAAAAAATCAGCAGCAAAGTTAGCAGACAAAAAGTTAAAAGCAACCTGAAGACAGAGCATGGGTCTGGATTTTCGGAGACCTAGTCTGAATTTTAATTCTCGAAGCATCCGTGATAGCTAAAATCCTACGAAAAGTAGGAAGAAGTGTAGTTGACAGTTGCATTTTGGTAACAGGATACTGACAGTGCTTTACATTACAGAGAAAAAATGAGGGAAAAAGGGAAGCCACTTCGAAGAAAAAAAAAAATCTTCCAAGTTTTTAGTATCAAAAGCCTGAAGGATTTCTTAAAAGGGGGGGGGAATCCTCTGCTATCTGAATGGAGTGCAAGCTGTTAACTTACATAAGCGATATTAAAGAAATTGGCAAAAAAAAAAAAAAAAGAAAATGGCAAAAGGTTAGCTCTTCTAAAAAGCGGCAACATGTTAAAGTATTTTTTTAAAAAATAAGATGGAGTCTCATATGTCAAGGATGGTAATTTAAACTGCATTAAAAATGAATTAGATAATATTTAAAGGATCTCTCAGTACATTTAATCTCTGATTCTGTAATTGGGTACATTATTTTTTTCAAAAGGAGAAACATGTCTTACTCAAAGTTTTAAAAATATCAACCATATTAGTTCCAACACAAGAAAGTTCTTAAATAGACATACTAATATGTTTTTATTTTAAATAGTTTTTAAAACGAGGCTAGTCTGAAGGTAACTTTAATACTTACTGATTGGCATCAAGCAAAATAACTTTTACACCATTTACTATACATTCCGTGTCCATTGGCAATGGATGGATGTATTGTTTTTGTACGTGAAGTTTGCTCTTCAACAAATTGCCAGTTATCTGCAAAACAGAATGTGCTTATTGCTGATACAGTAAAATACTAAATAAATCTTTTACTTCAGATCTAGTTTAGAAGCAAGTATCTTAGTCTCTCTGTTCTCCCACTTACTTACATTCATGGAAACCCTCCAGAATGCCAGGAAGAACTTCCTACCATGACTATGTCACAACTCTGCTTAAACTTGGTTCACTGGATCTCCCTCACCTGTGAAAAGTCCCTCATCCCCAGATGACCTACAAAACCCTTCATGATGGGGCCCCTGCTCATTTCTGCAGGTTTATCTTCTGTTATTCCCTATCTCATGGTTAGCCGTTCGGAATTATCTGAAGAGCCTGCAATGGGTAGATTTCTCTGTTGTCTATGCCTGTATGCAAACTCTGCTCTCTCCCTGGGATGCCCTCTCCTCCTTCCTTCGCCTGGTTCTGGAATCGGACAGACCTGTGTTCCGATTCTGACTCTGGCATTACTGGCTCCATGACTTAGGGCACATCACCTAATCTCTCCCAGCCTCGGCTGCTTCATTAATAAAAAGAAATTCACTTTATTTCAATAAAAATAATTCAAGAATGCTTGAGGATTAAACTGAATTCTAGCGGAAGCCCTTGGTAGTAGGCATTAGAAGAGTCACTGTTTAATAATTAATTCAAGGTATCTCTTGCACCATGAAACTTTCTCTAACCTTGGCCTGGGCCAGAATAAAGCACTTTCTTTTCCTACTTGCTGGTGTTCCGCTCAGTTTTTGGTCATAATACCAATTCCATCGCAGTGTATTTGTGAATGTGTTCCCTGAAGGCTGTGAGCTCCTTGAAGCTAGGTATTTCACCTTGAATGTCTTTTTGGGCATCCATAAGTGTTTACTGAATGGAACTTAGGTGTTTCAGTTACACTGTGAAGTAGTTTACTGTTTCCATATACTAAAGCATTAAAAAAAAATGTTTTGTAACTATTGACAATAACTCATTTTAGACTCTTAATGTGGAATCTGTTTTCTCACATCTTTTCTAGTAGAATGATAGATCTTACAATGTTATTCTTTTTTAACCAAATTACTTAGAAATTCACTGCATTCCATACATTTAGAATTTAGAAGGCTAAAACTTACCTCACTACAATAAATTGGAAATGTGAAGTTTTTAGACAATCCAGCATAGTGATCAGAATGAAAATGTGTGAGAAAATAGGCTGTGCACCCTTCAACCAGTCCGTACTGGAAGGCATCAACTGTAAAGCCAGTCCCTGCAATGAGAAGAGCACACAGCTGCTTGAGCAAGAGCCAAGAGAGTGAAAGAGTGAAAGATGTCCGATTTGAATGTAAATAGGAAACCCCCTATTCACGTCTTTACGTCTCAATTCCAACTGAGCTTCATAATTTAAAAACTTATGCCACATAAATTCAGCAAAAGGGCATACTAGAGATGAAAATTAGTCTCTTAAGTTGGCTCCATGGCCAGCGGGGAGCCCAACTCAGGGCTTGAACTCATGACCCTGAGATTAAGACCTGAGCTGAGACCAAGAGTCCAATGCTTAACCAACTGAGGCACCCAGGCGCCCACGGCTTTTTTTTTTTTTTTTTTTAAATGAATAACTGTACCAAAAAAATTAAAATACTAAGCTACAAACCAATTATTTCTTTGTTTTACTGACCTAAAATCCTGTACTTCTGCGAAACAGCAAAAGGAAAATGCTAACTTTCTTATTTTATTCTCTTGTGGCAATTGATACTGGGGGCACAAATGATTGAAGGCCCAAATAATCATACATATTACAGTGGTTGTGGCCCTCCACCAGGTCACAGTACAATAACAGAGGACAGCATATCTGTAGTATTTGAATTTCATTGTGGGGGATGGGAGGTGGGGGAGGAAGAAGGGAAACAAGAAAGTAGCCCAAAAAAGGCTACCTAGAGGAGCAATAAAGAAAAAAAAATGGCTGAGCTGTTCTGAAAAGTGTTCATGAAAGAAATAACCAAGAGTGTGAATTGTGATGTGCAAGTCAATAAGCACACCTTCACAATCTCACTGAGGCTTATCCCCACATATGGCATACTGGTCTCAGGCTCACTTAAAATACAGAAAATTCATCACCATAAGTATTAAAAAATATAACTGATGCTATGATGTACATAAATGATAATCCCTACATAAACATTTTGAGCAAATTATGGATTGCGACTATCAAAGCACTTTAAACAATCTTTCTGAAACCAGGTATATTTTGGCAGATTTTATATTCTTTTCAGAAGAAGAATTATTGGTTTCTTTAATAATAAAATTCATTTTACGACACATTTTTCTAACTCATCTATGAAGGCATGTGAAATTACAAAATACAAAAAAGGCTGAGAAACTAAGTTATGATGGGGTTAAAAATATTTGGCATTTATTATGACCTATACAATCTGTTAATTTTCCTTCTTTGAAGCTATTTAGCACTTTGTATTTCTCTTAAAGCCTTAGAGACTCTTATTTTATTTTAATTAAATTTTATAATTTGTATATAAGTTTTTATTATAATTACTTATAGAGAGCCTCTCCTCCTTCCCTATTAAGCTGACCTTTACTCATCTGAGTCAAATCTGTAAAATCTACCTACTAGTATAGTATCTTGTACACAAAATATATTTAATAAAAGTTTGCTGAATTGAATGGGGCAAAAACATTTAAATAGGCAAAAAAAAAATCTATGTTACACGTCAATGAAGTATAAAAAACAATGGAAATACATACAAAAAAACTGCTCTGTACAAACACACACAACATGGGCAATAAACATGAAATTTTTAAAAGTCAATTCTTTGTAGATATATTAAGCATTGGTTTTTCAACTTACCAGGTATTTTCTTATAGAATGGACATGTCCTTGTTCTTAATTGTCCTGCATTAGGTGACTCCGGGATTTTCGTGTTCCCTCTCTGCAGCCCGCCACAAGGTGATTTTATGAAGACTTTGTCTTTCCTTAAATTGACTCTTCCAGATTCTGTCCTGTTAAGGTGATGTGACCTCTTCTGATGTGCTCCCTCCTGTAGTGAAACTGACTTTTTAAGTCTCTTTCTTTGATGCTGTGACCTCTCACTAGAAAGTTCCACAGAGGGCCGACTCTCACTTAAATTCTTTGCATCGAGTTCTAAGTCACTTAAAGATTTTTCTGCTTTCCTCTTGCGCTGCCCCGACCTCTTTTCATTAGGACTTACAACTGGATTTAAGTTCATCCCTTCCACTGCACTCCCCTCTAGCAATTTCTCTTCTTTTCTTTTGGGTGGTAGTCCAAAATAAACACCTATATCCATTTGCTTCATCACTTTGGAAGAAGGCTGTGTTGCAGGACACTTGGGACCAGATGGTGACATTGTCAGAGACTCGACAGCATTAAGTGCACTGGAAGAGTTCTCTGTATTGGGAACTGTAGCTTTACTGTCTAGTTGACCACCTAATGCCTTTCTGCAGACACACGCTGAATTAGCATTGTTCTTTGCATTGAAGTTCTTATTTGATGATTTTCTCATTTTATTTTGGGTTGGATGGAAAGAAAGATCCCCTTCTCCCTGCCTTTTGAAAGCTCTTGGCATCTCACTAGTAAGTGATGTAAGGGAAATCTGATTGCAAACAGCTGATTCTTCAATTGCCTGTTTCTGTTTATTTGATTGAGATGGGTGACATTCTGGCTTACCAGGTTTTGCTTTAGCGGCCTGATAACTAGAAGTAAGCCCTTGTGCTGATGCAGATGGAAACAGCGCAAAATCATTACCAGTATGTGCTGGATCATCACACAGAATAACACCCTTATTTTGGAAAAAAAGTTGAGATGAACCAGTGAGACTGTTGTATTTATACAATACTTCTTGGTATTTATCCTGAGTTAAGAAGCCATCCACGTGGGGGCCATTCTCCTGCTGGTCCTTCAGGAACCGACCATGGGGTTTTTGAAACAAAGTGCACCTGTTGTCATCTTCTTCCAGGCTGCCATCTTTAGAGCTCTCCGTAAAGAATAGCTCCTGCTGCAAATCACCCAGGTTTTCATCCATACTGTAAGTTTCCTCATCAGTCTGAAGTGGAGAATAAGAGATTTCACAGCTACTAAAGTCATTTTCTGGCAATGGGGAGTGTCTGTGTTCTGAGTTGCTTTGGCTGTCTAGTTCTTCAGCAAGAGGCAAACCGACTCCCACCAGTTTGTCATTATTAACACATTCTGGAAATTGTAGGTTTTGTTGGGACGGTTGGATATTTGTTGAAGAAGAAGAAATCTTTTTATCGGTTTCAGTTGGAGACTGCGATTTCTTTAGACATGGTGTCACTAACGAGGGGTGAGTTGAAACATTTCTTAAGTTTTCCATTGGCTTCTGATGCACAGACCATCTTTCCTCAAGGCCACAGAGAAAGCCTGAATTAGTCTCACTGAAGCAATCCCTTGGCCCATGTGGTGGGCTGCTGAAAGGACTACTGCCTGCCCTGCTCTGAGCAAGCAGGAGGTGAGTGTATCGTTTGAAGTGAGAAGGAATTGTTGAGGTGCACAGAAGACCATCAGGACACTCTGAAAAATTTTAAAAAGTAACGCAGGATCAAAGCACAGACAGCGTTAAAACCTAAGTGGAAAGTCATCAGTGCTACTTTGAGGCCTTAGGACCGTAGCTATCTTTACACAAGCAAAAGATCCAGCATAAAATAATAATAATCCAGTATGGTTTTGCAACATGCTAGTTATTATTTTTAAATCAAACACTTTAAATTTCTTTTCAGATAATCTTTTTTTTTCAAATATTTTGTAAGACTAACACCTTTTCCCCCTTAGTAACTCTCACAAATATGAGCCTCTTCAAACTACAGTTCATGTTTACACAAGGTATTTATAGGTGTTCACTAGTTCACTATTGCTCTGGCAATAAAGAATGAAAAAGACTAGTGTGTCTCTCAGAGAACTAAAGTTCTACCCCAATTTTTATCTTATCAAGTAATATGGATTTGTGACAATTAGAGTACCCAATTAGGGTCCATTATTTAATATTTACACTGTATACAATAAGAGTAATAGCAATCTTAATTAGTTATAGCTGTTCATACACTAATAGTTTAAATTCTAAGATTTGAAATTCAATTTGATAAACTGGTTAATATTAAGGCTTTAATAATAATCTGGAAACTATTCCCCATCATACATTATAATTGAGAAACAGTCTTGGCATATACCCTTATATGTTATTTTCCAGGTTTTTTTTTTTTAAGTTTTATTTATTTAAGCAATCTCTACACCCAATGTGGGGCTTGAACTCATGACCCCAAGATCAAGAGTCACATGCTCTTCGGGCTGAGCCAGCCAGGTGCCCCAATTTCCAGCTTTATCAAAAAATGACCCACTCTCCCTCCTAAAAATGATGTTACAATAAATTAGAAGGCCTTGTTGCTTAACTTAATTTAAAACCACCTCATAAAATTATTTGTTGTGGCACAGAATTCAACTCAAGAAGAGTCTATATGAAATTCTATTCAAAGGAGTTTAGTGAAAAACCAAAAGAAAAATCTCTTTGAGGTGGCTTCATCATAAGACATTTCACCCTGAGCTGCTCACCATAAGACTCCAACTTCCATTTCTGATTTTCAAGCCACTTAAAAGCAAATTAGCAGCCTTTGATGAGACTTTTCACTTTATAAAAAAAAAGCTAGTGCCAAAATTTTTTTAAAGTTCTTTTGCATCTTTATGCAGTACTTTAAAATAACTAGAGGTTAATAATAAAATGTCTTCTGAATCATACACAACATGAAAGCTATACTGAGTAGTATTTTTATTTTGCTGAATTTTAATTCTTTGAGATTTAAAAATCCACATATGGTATTTATAACTTTGAAATATAGAAATCATCATAACAACCCATTTTTCATATACTCCAAGTAGGACTACCTACATGTTAAACGTGGCATTATATATCTTAAAAGATAATAAAGCATAATATTACTTCAGTTATCATTTGGCACATTTTTAATTCGAATCTTAAAAATCTAAGACTCCTTCCCAGATCTTCTTCCTGTACAATAGCATGATAAATCCAACATTTAGAAGACTCGACTATATGGATAATTCCTTAAATTTGTTTCACAAAAGATAACAAAAGGGCAGTTTAACTTTTAAGAATGCTCATCTGTAAAACGTCAATACCACTTATCTTTTTGCTGTCATTGAGAGTCAAGTAAGTAAACAGAGTGAAAGTATCTAGCATAGTATGTGCTCAATTAACATTTATGAAAAATCATTGTGATGTTTAGGAACTTCCATGAAATAATGAAATGCATTTCAACTGTTTTCAAGTTTGCAACATTCTTTACAATTATACCATTGACTATGATCTCTTTACCCTTCTCAAGAATGGTTTCCTTGTTTCCTTCTAGGGTAAGACATTTATACTTTAGTGTCTCATCTCCCTTTCATTTTACTGATCGGACTGATTCGTCTGGCCTAATGCAGGCTTTTTAGACTACTTAAAGACTACTCCCTTTTTTGTCATCTTACCTGTTTCAGAGACTGATGGAGAATCCAAACACTCAAAAACATGCCATCGAGGTGTTTGACCTAGCAATGAGGAAAAAGGCATCTGGCAGTTTGGGCAGTATCCATCATAAACTGGACGTATCTTTGGAGATACTTGTTTGTTTTTGCGAGTCCTGCAATGCTTTCCTGAAGCCGTCTCCTTGTCTTGGGACTGGGGAATACCATCTCCGCAACTAGAATTCTGACTAGAAGCTACAGAAGTCTGACTATCTGTTTCTCCAAGGCACATTTCAGGGTCCTTTGTCTTCTCTTTAGCTTCTGCAGTTCTTTTTTTATTTCTGTTTCGTTTTGACTGGTATTTTCCATCTGTTGCTTTTTCAACAGATTTTGGCATAGTCTCAGAGCAATTATTTGTATGTACTGGTTTTGGTTTTCTTTTAGATTTGTATTCCCAGATGTCTTCTTCCAAAAAAGCATCTTCTAACATGGCAAAATGATTTTTAAGTAAATGGATTTCTTGTTACAAAACAATTTCTTGTTACAAAAATTTTAAATGGAAATATTTTGCTGAGAAAAAAAAAGTAACAAAACCCCCACTAACTTGATGGGAATCTAAAGCTTTGGTAATGAATGTATTGGCAAACTACAAGGCTTATACCTGAGAACACCTGCTATTCCATTCATACCACAATAAAATTAAGAGAACCTACCACAGGGGTAGCATCTGAGAATTTTCCCATTGTGACCACTATTTCATTCAAGTGTGTCGGCCTTTCCAAGGACTTGATTCATAAAAATAAGAATCAGTAATACTTGGAAAATTAAGCACTAATAGGAAGTATAGGTTCAATAGCTTAATCTTAGAATGAGCTTTGTAAAATTGTTATAAAGCTCCTGTCAGTTCCCTTTCAACTAGACAATTGTCCAAATAATTCACAAATAAAACCACAGTCCCTGGGCAGTTGGCTTAGCAGGGTTTCCAAACATTAAATGGCTATCTCAGCCTCCTAGTACCACCATAATCACACCATAATCAAAGAGGTGTGTGATTGGGGGGGGGGAGGCGGGTAGTAATTGCCCTTATCCTTGACTCTTGGATATTCAACCACTTCAGTTTCCTGGGGCAGTCCAGTATCTTCTTCCAGCAGCAACGAACAAACACTGCACAATGGACAAACAGAATTCAACTAAGTGAAGTTGTGCCTGCACTGAGGCCGCCCACACTCCTAAAACCAGACTGCAGACGTGGTCTGCCCTAGACGTGGCCAGCCCTCTCTCCACAGCTTCAAAACCAAGATTCACCTGCCTGATGCCTCCCACCTGCTCCGCCTTCTCTTTGAACTCAGGAGGCTGCAAGGCCACTGAGTAGGGCCTTACCCCTTCCAGGGCAGGGAGAGAGTGAGCTGCGAGCACAGCCCGTTGCATAAAAGCTATCAGAGCCCTCCGCTTCCGAAGTCGGAGGCCCAGCCCACCCGGATCCTCGCCGCAGCCCACCCGCCACCCGCACCCCCTCGGGAGTAGCTCCAGCTGCGTCCGCTCCCCTCGGCTCCCCCTCCCCTGCTCCGCTGACAATCTGTTCGTGCTCGCACTTTCAGCACTGCGGGGCGACAAAATACTGTATTTGTGTACAAGCCAAAGCCATTGCCAGTCACTCCCAACTTGAAAAAAAAAAAAAAAAAAACCTATCCCATGAGGATATCCCTACCCGCTTTACCTCTGGTGTCTTAGGCGGGAACAGGTTCCCCTAGCCAGTGCTGTGTCGAATCGGCTGACCCTGGTCTGTGGGCGGGACTTTGAAAAAGTTTGTGTCCTTTGGGGTCCTACTGATTTATTTTATTTTATCTTATTTTTGTTCTAAAACCCGCTAATTTCCAAAGTGAAGTGTTGGGGGGGTGAATGGTTCTCAGAGCTTCTGGAACGCGAACCCGGAGACTTTCCCCATGCTGAATCTGGCGCTGTGAATGTCCAGGCTCAGTTGTGCCGGGACGCTCTAGAAGGGGCGGGGTGGTTTGGGCCGGTGGCTAAATTACGAGCCCGGGAATTCAACAGTTTGTATCTTAGCATTGGAATGCTTGATTACAAAGGAAAAAGGTGTCGTTTACATGGAGTGGGGGCTGGTGGAGAGTGAGGTGAATGTGCCGTTTTGAAACCAAAGGACAGTAAGCGCTTCCTCTCTCCCCATTCGAGACCGTCCCGCGGGCCCGGCGGCCGCCTCTGGACTAGCCGGAGAGAACATGGCGGCCCCCGGAGGCCGGGGCTGCAGCCTCGCGGGCCTGCTCCCGGCGCAGACCTCGCTGGAGTACGCCCTGCTCGACGCCGTCACCCAGGAGGAGAAGGACGGCCTGGTCTACCAGTATCTGCAGAAGGTGGACGGCTGGGAGCAGGACTTGTCAGTGCCCGAGTTTCCGGAAGGTGAGGGGCAGGCTTCGGGGTGGGGACCCCTCCCGGAACCTCCCCTTCCTCGGGGACGACGCCCTCCCCTGAAGCGGGGGGCGAGGCGGGCTTGTGCGACCGCGCCCGGGCGGTTCGCCAGCTCTGCGGCTTCCCCGGGTCCCCAAGCGGCGGAAAAGGGTGGTTTTCTGGAGCGCGGGGACGTGCACATTCGCCTCTGTATCCCGAGTCCCTGCCGGGGCCTGGTGTGAACTAAGTAGACCTTCCATGAAGGTTTAGTGGTCCCGATTGGCAAAGATTGAAGTGTCCATGCCACCCTGTCCTTTAAGTCTGGTTGCCCAGGATCGTCATTGTCATCCACTGCGCATAATGCTAACATTTATTGATCACTTCTGTGCCACACACAGTTGTAAACACGTCCGGGGACTATTTTAGTTATTCCTCTCCACAACTCGTTGAGACAGCTTAAAGACCTATTTTATAGTTGAGGAAACGGAGGCACAAGAAGGCTAAGTCCTTTCCTCAACGCTTCACAGTAACTGCCAGAGCCGGCTTGTGCGGACTCCAGATTGGCAAGTATCTTAACTGTGCCACACTTACTTGTTCAAAGTCTTGAAATTGGTAATTTTTAAAATCTGAATCAATTACGGCCCATCTCCAGGGTTTGAATCCCAGCTCTGTGAGTGTTTGGAACACCGGGGAACAGGTATTCCCAGTAGTGCTATTTGGGAAGCACATCTTGCTGTGATAAGTGAAACCGTACTTTCCCTTCTTTGGTTGGGACTGGCATTGTTTTGTTGGTGTTGGCATGTCTCCTGGCGTGACACTGAAACCACATGTATAGTTAATTGGTTGGATATGGCAGGGTTCAGTGTCTCATGGGAGATACATCAGAACCTTGCCTTTGACAAGAGTCTTATGTGTCTTTCCAAGCCTTTTGCTCCCACCTTCAAAAATGCTTATTTTTTTCCATTACTAATCCTATGCTGAATTTGAAATATTGTGGAGTTATTAGGGAAGAGTTGGGTTCATGACTGCTTCTCCCATCAAAAGAACTTTAAGAGATTAGATACATACGTGTATATTTTTAAAAAACTTTGTAAGAAGTTCGTTACGTAGTATAGTGTTATAAACAAGCAGGCCACCAGCTACGTTTTGGGCCCGTGTTTTTATTTTCTAGTTGTGTTTATATTTTCTAGTTGTGTTTATATTTACAGTGGGTGTATTTTATTACCATGATATTTGACCTTAGTGACTCATAAATAACAACAAAATATTCAGGCTTCATATGTGACCTAGTCAGATTTTCTGCGGGATCTGATTATTGAGCTCAGAATACTAGATAACAGGTTTTCTTGGTTTCTTTATCAGTAAGCTATAATCAAGAAGTTATAAAAACATAACTTATCTCAGAAACAGCATGCTTTGTTCATTTCTTAAAAGAGATGTGTTTATGGGAAACGGTGGTGTAACGGATGGATTCAGACAGATTTGGGATTAAATCCGAGTTATTTCATTTGTTAGTTGCATGATTTTGAGCAAGTTACTTGATTTCTCCAAGCCTTACTTTACTCCCTCATAAAATAAAACCAGTATTTAGCTTTCAGGTTAATTATGTGGATTAGAGGTAATATATCTAAAGTTCTTAGTTCATAGGACAGCTCAATAAATGTTGACAGTTTTTTAAAATTATATTCATTGTAATTATTGTTATTGTAAAATTTATTATTATTAAGCCTGGTAAGCACAATAACTGACATGTAATAGTACTTTCTTTACCCTCCAATCTACGTCACTCTTGACTATTTACAGAAAATAAATTTAAAAGACCGATTCATAAATATTTTGCAATTAAGATGTGAAACATACAGAAGTTTGAAGTTTTATATGTTTATTTGATCTGGTATAAAATTAACACTTTATTAAAATGCATCATTAAGAGCTTCCTCTACCCTAAAACCTCACTAGGTTGGACTAACTAAGGCGGAAAGGCTAGTTTGATTTGCAGATTATTTATTTTTTAGAATTTTATTTTAATTAACTCCAGTTACTGTTATTAGTCTTTAGCTGTTATTATTCACTTAATTCCACCCAACTTTGGCTTTCAGTTTCTATAAAATATTTTCTGAATACCTGCTTCGAGATGTAATTAATAGTGTTAGTGGCTGCATTTACTTATAAACAATAAGCTCATTATCTTTGTTTTTCTAAATTGGTTAAGTAGAGATGCTGTACTTTTAATATTTAACAAAGTCTTTCTTTATAGTGCATAGTTAAAATTGTAAGTCATGCTTTGTAAGTCATGCTCAAGTAATTATAAATTCTGATTTATAAAAGTACAGATTAATGAGATTCCATTTTTCTTTGGAGGGAAGGGAACACGTTCTTCATCAATATTAATGTTGCTTCCATGAAATCTGTAATAGTGTATTTTGCTTAACTTTGCATTTAAAATATTTTGTATTTAAGGTCTCATTCAAATCCAGAGCACTTTAGTTCTTATGAAATTGGCTTAGGCATTTTGTATGTTTATATTTTAACACCTTGCTCCTTTTTGAATTTAGTCCTGTCTCGCTATTCTTAAGATTGCTTCATTCTCAAAAGCTCATTTGAACCTGATTGTGTACTTAGGTCCTCTTAATATTTGATATTTACTCTCATTTTTACCTAAATGTGTTGATCTTGCTTTCTTTCACACAGACTATTCTATTTCTGAAAGAATTTAGTAGCTTTTTCTTACTATATTTGCATACTGCTGCATAATAGCATCTTTCCCATCTTACGCCACCCCCATCCCTTCCTTAGAAATAATAATGGTTTACATTTTAATGGAAAATTTTAGATAAATTATCTCTGCCTTTTCCTTTAATCATGATAATCTGTTTTGTGTAAATTTCAGGATTAGAATGGCTGAACACAGAAGAGCCTATTTCTGTCTACAAGGATCTGTGTGGAAAAGTAGTCATCCTTGATTTCTTCACCTACTGCTGCATAAACTGTATTCATCTACTGCCTGATCTTCATGCATTAGAACACACATACTCTGATAAAGGTATCTGCCCTTTAATTGTTTCTAACAGACTGTCCTGGCATAGGTACTGGGGGAGTAGCTGACTCATTTGCTCATTGGAAAATGAACATTTGGCGAGACTTCAATGATTCTAAAAGTAATTTCTGATCTATGATTTAAGGACCCCATGTACCTTCTCATGAAGAGTTAAGTTTAGTGATAATGGTTTGCCTTCCTAAAGAACCAGCATTTAGTATATTTTTTTTCTCTGAGGTTAAGGACATGATTTACTTTTTTACGATCAAGTATTTTTAAAAGTTCATTTTGTAGATTTAGACTTAAATTTGTCCTATGAGAAAATGAAACTTGTGACTCTAATCTTATACTCTTCTCACTAAGATATAAAGGTTTAAAGTTCTTATTAGGAAATGTGATTAGACTTCCTTTAATTTCAGATGACATGAATTACAGTGGAATGCCAAATATTATAGCAGATACTTTTTCTTTGACCCTGCGTTATTAAAAAACGATTTATAAAGGTTAATGTTTTCCAAAGCACACTAGGAAATCCTCTTTTATGGTATTACAAATTCTGAAGATGTAAGAGATTATACTTAGTATTTGCTTTAGAACTTTGACATTTTTTCAGATCTTTTTTCTCTTGTTTCTTTCTTTCTAAAAAAGAGAGCATATGGGGTGAATGCAACTAATTAAAGGTTCCATTTAATTAGGCTTAAATTGGGGCGCCTGGGTGGCTCAGTCGTTAAGCGTCTGCCTTCGGCTCAGGTCACGATCCCAGGGTCCTGGGATTGAGCCCCATATCGGGCTCCCTGCTCGGCGGAAGACCTGCTTCTCCCTCTCCCACTCCCCCTGCTTGTGTTCCCTCTCTCGCTGTGTCTCTCTCTGTCAAATAAATAAATAAAATCTTTAAAAAATAATAATAATAATTAGGCTTAAATTAATTGAAGCTCCACAGTCGAAGTGGTATAAAGGAGAGAGGGTCACTGATCTTAGAGTAAAAATGAGGATATAGTACAGAATTGAAAGATAACTTAGTTTTAAAAAAGTGATTTTAAAAAAGGAGTGATAGATTAAAATTTTCAGTGCAAGGGAAACCTCGGATGCTTATAAATTGTTATGCATTGTATCTTGAAATTGCCAGTCAGTGAGATTTATGAAGAACTCAAGTATTCCTGGTAGCTAAATCATGTTTTCAAAAATTTATCTGTATTGATTTAAGAAACAAGAGTATCTCATTATCTGCTAGTTTTGGATGCCTCTGTGTCTTGGTCAAGCTCATGTAAGTGTAAGTGTATTGAACATGTAGTATATGCAGGGTAGTCTGCTAGCTGCTGAGGACATATGTAACAGTTAAATAAAAAGCATCATGGAACCTGAGGAAAGGAGTAATTCACTTCCTCTAGAATCATTGGAAAAGATTTCTCAGAGGGGGAGACAGTTAGGCTGGAACTTGAAAAATAAGCAGGAGTACAGCTGCAGATGCAAAGGGAGCAGGAGGAAGCTCGCTGAGGAAGCGACGGGGAAATAAGCAGGGAAGCGTGGAAGAGTAAGCTTCTTGGGGAGAGGCCAGTAGTTTAATGTGGCAGGACTGTGGGGACTTCTGGGAAAGATGAAAGGAGAGGAAGGTGGGTTAGGTTCAGACCAGTTGTGAAAAGTTTTCTTAATAGCTTAGCCTTTGTCTTCCACTGAAGATACAGAGATGTTTAAGGTTGTTTTTTATTTATTTGTTTAAAAGATTTTATTTATTTGCCAGAGAGAGAGAGCGTGCACACAAACGGGGAGCGGCAGGCAGAGGGAGAAGCAGGCTCCCCACTGAGCAGGGAGCCCGATGTGGGGCTTGATCCCAGGACCCTGGGATCATGACCTGAGCCCAAGGCAGATGCTTAACTGCTTAAGGACCTGAACCACACAGGCGTCCTTGTTTGTTTAATAGGAGGATGAAAGACTGGGTTAAGAATTCCAAAGTTAACTGTTTCGGTACTTAAGATAATCCCTAAAAGACTGTATTTGGTTAACTTAGTTGGTTACCCCACACCTGAAGCAAATTCAAGAACTTCTTGGAATGGGTCCTTGTAACCTCTTTATCGGTTTACTGGAAGCATCATTTTTATAGCACATTGTGACACAAAATAAAAATTATTTTTACATACAAATACACTTCTGAGAAGTAAAGATACTTGAAGATCCCAACACTATAATTTCAAAGAAACATTACTTTAGTAATATGCTGCTTTATGAAAATGCTGGTAACTTCAAAATATTTTCATATTGCTCAAAATATACATTCAATTCATATTCACAAAAGCAGGTGTACCCAGAGATTATCACATGAAAGTTCAATAAGCTGTCACTAAATTAATTTGCTTTCTTACAGCGATGTGTCTTGTCTCATTACTATCTGCTATGTTTCTGTACATATTTGCAGCAATGCTCATAGTTCTTGAAGTGACATTCAGCAGCCTATTCTAAATTCCACGGAATATTCAGTTCATTTCATCAGTAAGCCAGAAATGCTCAGCTAAGTGAGGAAGTGCTTATTAATTTAAAAACAGCCTGAAAAGGGTCCAAATTAATACCCAGTCTCCTTCCTCTGTTAAACAGCTTTTAATATCAAGTTTGTAATGGTGACCAGTATCATTTTCACAATAGCCTGAGGCATTATAAATGCCAGAGTCTAAAGTAAAAAGATATTTAATAGTAATGAATGGTTCTGATCTTCAAACATTTAAGAATATAGCTGTGCTCTAAGCTTGTTATTCATAATGATTTAGCACATGTTTACATTAAACTGATAGGTGTCTCATGTTTTGGGTTTTTTTTTTCTGTTTCTACTTGAGAGTTTATAAAATTTTTTTGCCTTTTTATGCTGGATGCATTAATGATACGTTATATAATACCCAAATTTAGCACAATGGCTATTAAGGAAAAGTGTTTCTTGTTTCATAAAAAAATCTATTAGGAACATTTGACATATTTTAAAATGTGACTGCTAGGTATATGTTGATGCATAATTAAATCAGACTTACCAACCTAAATGCCAGGGTACTACTGGGTAAATGCTGGTATTCTCATTATGTAGTAGACACTACTTTTCTGTTTTATACTTTATTAAAAATTAGAAGAATGGAGTTCTAATTTTATAATGACACTAAACCTTTCAATGACTCCATATATAATTTGATGGTGTGTCAAGGTTCCCAGTACCATCACCAGGTTCCATAATTCTTTAGGAGGACTCACAGCTGTAATTTGTTACAGCTAAAGGATACAGAGTGAAAGCAGCAGAGGGAAAAGGTGCTTTGGTGAGGCTAAGTCCAGGGGAGACAAAACACAGGCTTCCTCCTCTCTTAGTGGAGCCATATAAGACAACTTAACTCCCAGCAAGGAGTTGTTCGAGCACATTTGAGATATTACCAGGGCCTCTCATTAGAGACTTAGCAACCAAGGTTTTTACTGGGGGCTGGCTAAATAGGCAGCTTCTGCCTGGCAGCATGTAGGAAAATTCTAGAGTCCCAGAAAGAAGGCAAGTGTTCAGCATAAACCATATTATTTGTACGACCGGTTTAAGAGTAGCGAGCCACTCTTACTTGTTCTGGGAATGGCAGGCACCCTCCTGAAATCCAGGCAAGGGCCAGCCTTATAAGCAGGCCTTCGAAAGAATACCAGTCAGGCCTGCTATGTTAACTCTTATCTGCACACACTTTATATTTTCTTTTTGCAGCAGTCCATATATTATTCTGTTTTTAAATAGATGATGTGTGATGGAAATATTGGTCAATTTATGGCAAACTTCTGGGATGTTTCAGGAGAGACACAGGGCAACATTAGTTTTTGGAATTCTAAAAAAAATTTTCAAATTTGTATCGGCTCTGTGCTTTAGTGTTCAGTGATTTTGATCTTTTCAGTTCATGTTTCCATTGCTTTTAGTATGAAAGCTAAAATCCTACCTGTCCACACCCTACTTCTCTTCCCTCAGGGTGTTCTAGCCTCCCTGGCCTGCCTTTAGTTTTTCAGTGTCATGGTTCTTCGTGCTTTAAAGCCCTGACACTTAGTGTTCACTCTGTTGGAATACCCTTATCCTTTTTTGCCTAGTAAAGTGTCATCCTTGTCGTTTAGCTCTCAAAATGTCTCCGTTTACAATTTTGTAACATGTAAAACTCAACTGTTTTTAATCCTTGCACTTAACTAGGTTATTACAGTGTTTGTGATTAAACTGTGCTTTCTACTATATATTATGTAAATATAATAATGTCATATATATTGCTATATACAATTATAATCTAGTACAATTCTATATATCTCTGAAAAATAAGACCTTTGAAGCTTTTAAAATGATTTTTTGAAGTTATTTTATTACTAATATTTTAGAAGCAGTTATTTTTATATGGCTTCTCCTTCCCTCTTCCTCCCTCTCTTCCCTCCTCCCTCACTCACTTCCCTCCTCCATCTCCCTCACCTTCCTTTCCTTCCATATTTTATTTTAATGGAGTAGTTTTGATCCCTGTGCTGGCAAAAGATTCATAAAATGAAGAATCTTTTACATTGTTTTTTATTGTGTATGATTAACAGAAAAAGCAAAATATTTTTAAAAAATCTCTAAGATTATTGACACTGAAAAAATGTGAGGCATCGTTACTTAGCAGTTGTCTTTGTATATTAATATAGATATTCTACTTAGACCATATGCTATGGTTTATATATTGTCTAAATATACAAACTTCTTCAGTGTTCATGTCCCATTTATTCATCGTTTTATTTCCTACTATGTACTGAGCACTGTGCTAGTGAATAATAAAACATGCATGATCCCTAAATAATTAATATGAATTATAGTCTTGTTAACAGGGGCAAGACTTATAATCAAATATTCACAAATAGTTTTATACTTTCTGATTAGTGCTAAGAAGGAAAATTACAGGGTGCTATGAAAACAAATACTGGAGTTTAATCTGGAGGAATTTAAAGCTTTCTTAAGAGTAAAAATTGAGCTTGCTATCTAGAAGAAAAGTGTGGCTTTACTA